CTTCAGAAGAAACTGAATGTAACTGGAGGACACCCTGCTGAAGATGGTGGCGGATGAAGTGACAATCAATCTCAATATGTTTAGTACGTTCATGAAACACATCATTATGTGCAATCTGGATGGTACTACGATTATCACAGTGAATAGGAGAACTTATGATTGAGGAACACCCATATCTTTCAGAAGGCAGTGTAACCACAAAAGTTCAGATGTCGTATCAACAAGAGTGCGATACTCAACCTCAGTGCTAGAATGGGCAACAACAGACTGTTTCTTACTATGCCATGAAATCAAAGAAGTACCAAGTAAGAAACAATAACCAGTGGTGGAGCGACGATCAGTAGGATCACCAGCCCAATCTGCATCAAAATAGGCCCGTAGCTCCAGAGAGGAGTGGGATGAGAAGTGTAGACCATGAAACAGAGTACCCTTGATGTAGCGTAGAGTTCGAAGAACTGCAACAAAATGGGTAGATCGAGGTGCACTCATAAACTGACTGACCAGATGAACAACATATGAAATGTCAGGCTTGGTGACAGTAAGATAAATGAGATTGTCAACTAACTATCGATAAAGAGTTGCATCTGCAAGTGGAGAACCATCAATGGCCAGAAGCTTAGTATTATACTCAAGTGGACTAGTGGCTATCTTGTTGTCTGTCAACCCAGGTTTGGAAAGTAAATTAGAGGCATATTTTACTGCATATTGTTGTTAATTCAGCTCTTTTTTACTTGATGTTGTGACATAAAGAGTGGTCTAATGCTATGATATAAGGAGTGGTCTGATGCTGTAATATAAGAAGTGGTCTGCAGTTGAATGAAAATTCAGTTTGAACTTCTGTGTTTTTGGTGATGGAAAAATTAGAAAATGTTTGGTTTAAGGGGAAATGTTAAGCAAAGGTGCTGAGAAAGTTTAAACAAAGTAGACATCTAGTTTAAGGGGAAATGTTAAGCAAGAGGAAAAAGTGAAACAGAGTAGTTTTAGAGGAGCTGGGTCTATTTTGTAATGATTGTGCAAGCTACGTGGCTTAAGTGTAATTATAGAATTTAAAAGCACTGCCGTTTTATAAGTAACAATGGCTATATAAGTGCTTATGAACTGTAACAGAATTTAGTTAATAAAAATTCCAGATTCCGTATTTTCTTCTTACTGAAACTTCCTTTGCACTTTTCTTTCTTGATTTTACAAAATCCTTTACTGGCCAACTAATTGAATTTGATATATTTTTGTTGAAAGCTACTCGCTTTCTTTTTTCTTGAATTCATCTTCTTTCTTGCTTTGTTCTTGGTTTTGCATTTTCCTGGCTTTTCGATTTTTTTCTTTTCTTTTCTTTTTCTTTTTTCTTTTTTCTTTTTTCTTTTTTCTTTTTTTGGTTGGGTCAGGGGTATTCATTTTCAGCCCTCCATTACCATATCTTTGAAGCTTCGAAAACCCAACGAACCAGAAATATGTGACCAAGAAGTCTCTTGGCTCTGGCAAAACTCCAAAAAAGAAGGCGGCGATTGGCTTTTGATGTCATTCGCTTCACCAGGGCTCTTGCTTCTTTGTCAAAGATAGCAACAAACAAATCTTGCGGTCCCTCTCTTATGTTGCCATTGTTATCGGTAGACGCTGGAGTTAATTTTCTCGACATTGATGAGAAAATACTCACTGCCATGGTGAAAGAGAAGAACTTCGAATCTTTGAGTAATCTTGGAGGAGTGAAGCAAGTTGCTGCAATTCTTGGAACCGACGAAAAGAATAGTGTCCAAGGTAATGAGGCTCAACTTCTGCATAGAGCGAATGCTTTTGGTCAAAACTGTTATTAAAAGGCAGATGCAAATTTTTTTTTAGTTTTGTTTATGAAGCATTCAAAGATACTACCGTTATCATTCTTCTACTCTGTGCAGTACTTTATCTAGCCTTCGGAATTAAAGAAGATGGCTTGAAAGAAGGGCGGTTTGATGGCAGCAGTATTATATTTGCTGTGTTTTTTGTTGTAATTGTCTCTGCCGCGAGTAACTTTAAGCAAAATAGACAATTTGAAAAGCTTTCTGATGACAGTGGTGACATAAAAGTTGAAGTAGTGAGAGATGGCAGGCGCCAAGCCGTGTCAATCTTTGAAGTTTTAGTGGGTGATGTTATGTGTCTGAAGATCAGCGATCAAATTCCGGCTGATGGGTTGTTCTGAAATGGTCACTCTTGAAGTTGGATGAATCTAGCATGACTGGTGAAAGTGACCATGTTGAGATCAATGGCAGCAAGAATCCTTTTTTGCTTTCTGGCACAAAGGTCACAGATGGTTATGGTTCTATGCTCATCACTTCTGTCGGTATGAAAACGGCATGGGGAGAGATGATAGTTCTATTAGCCGTGACTTGGATCAGCAGATTCCACTGCAAGTTCGCCTGAGCAAGCTGACTTCCTATATCGGAAAGATTGGATTGGCAGTAGCTGTGCTGGTCCTTCTTGTTATGTTGATTCGTTACTTCACAGGCAACACCACAGATGAAAGAGGAGACAGAGAATTCAACCGCGGCAAGTCAAAGGTTGACGATGTAATGAATGCAGTTCTGAGAATTATTGCTGCAGCAGTCACAACAGTGGTGGTTGCAATCCCTGAAGGTTTGCCTCTGGCTGTTACTCTCACTCTGGCATACTCTGTGAAGCTTATGATGGCAGATAATGCATTGGTTAGAAAACTCTCTGCTTGCGAAACGATCGGATCCGCCACAACAATCTGCTCAGACAAAGCAGGCACGCTTACATTGAATTAAATGAAAGTGACAGGGTTTTGGGTTGGAAAAGAAGCATTGAAGGATACGGATATAGCTGCTAACATTTATGAGTTGCTACAAGAAGGGGTTGGTCTAAACACAATGGGTACTGTTTATCAGTCAAACTCTAGAACACCGCCTGAGATATCTAGTAGTCCAAACTGAGAAAGCAATACTTGCCTGGGCTGTGTTAGACTAGGAAATGAACCTGGATGTGTCAAAACAAAATTGTGACATAATCCATGTAGAGGCCTTTAATTCAGATCAGAAAAAGAGAAGTGGTGTCTTGATGAGGAGGATCAACGAAAAGGTTGTTCACACACACTGGATGGGAGCTGCCGAGATAATACTGGCCATGTGTTCGCATTATTATGACATAAGTGGTACGATGAAAGTCATTGATGGTGAAGAAAGAATGCAAATTGGAACAATTAATAAGGGTATGGCAGCTAAGAGCCTGCGATGCATTGCCTTTGCTTTTAACTTCTGATTATCAACAGTGTACCAGTAGAGCCGAGAAAAGGAATTAACGAGGATGCATGTGAGTTTGTTGTTGCAACTCTCCAAAACCAGCCATGGACTAAACTTATCCTGACAGAAACTTGCAAAAGAAGTCGGACTCGTAAGACTTGATGCGGTTACATGCCATAATTATGCAATTATGCAGTTCAAAGTGCAGTTCAAAGTGGTTTAAAGGAGTTATTTAACTGCCTCTCTTGATCTTTGATGGAAGGTTAAAGGCAATGGAAAGGAGTAACTTGGTCTCTAGCCTAACAATATATAAAGATATCATCTTCTCCATCAAAGATAGATCCCAAAAACACAATAGGTTGGGAACCCATACCTTTGTATAGTGTTCATAAATTTATAGATACCATGTTAGGAAAGGTTGAAGTTCCCATCTCATTCATTCTATTGATGATAACCACGAAACATTCTATGTAATTCAGATAGAAGTCACTTGATCAAAAATTAGCAAGCGAAAAAAAACACAACAGCAAAAATTATTGAAATATATGGTAGGTAGCACACTGGATTGATTAAGAAGCCAAACAAGGATTCAATTCAACTGGGCAACAACACATTAATTTAAAGAACGACTATAACTCCGGATTAACATATACTGTCAACATGAAATAAAGTCATTCTCATTTCCATTGTTCGAAATAACATAAAAGAATTCAATACACAAAAACGTGCATACACTCAACATGAAACTAAATACTGATTTTCACACCTAAAGTTAAACTAACCTTGATTGAATTTTCGAGCACACCAACCATCTACAGCGTCACAAACAAAGCTGAAGTAATATTGTAAACATAATAAATTATTCTTATTAAAAGTCTTAAAAATCAATAAATTAATTCTTATTCAAATTCTTATTCCTACTCTTGAGTGAAATTGTAAATTATCTGAAATCTGTAGANCCTAAAGTTAAACTAACCTTGATTGAATTTTCGAGCACACCAACCATCTACAGCGTCACAAACAAAGCTGAAGTAATATTGTAAACATAATAAATTATTCTTATTAAAAGTCTTAAAAATCAATAAATTAATTCTTATTCAAATTCTTATTCCTACTCTTGAGTGAAATTGTAAATTATCTGAAATCTGTAGAATCAATATCCTATCGGTATTGGAAATTTGTTAATTTAACTCTTAATAAAATTTCTTTTCGTAAAGGCATATCACAGACTTGTTACATAAATAGAGTATACTTCTTTGACACAAGAAACCATAATTCCCTAAATCAATTTAAATCCTTGCCAAAAATAAATATAAAAAGACCTACAGTAATTTTTAACTCTTATATAGATAGTAGTATTGAGAAACACTAGTTTTAGAGCAATTATGAATTGAAAAATGTCTTGAAACTTTTAAAAAGAAAAGAGAAAAATACAAAATTAAAAGGGTAATTTTAGATATTACATAGAAATAGGGGCTAATAGTTTCATTGTTGGGATGCGTATATAGTATCACTCATTAATAAATTACTCTTATTAAAATTCTTAAAAATCAATAAATTTATTCTTATTTAAATTCCTACTCCTACTCTATCAGTAGAATCAGTATCCTATTGGTATTGGAAATTAATAAATTTAACTCTTAATCAAATTTCTATTCCTACTAGTAAAAGCATATCACAAACTTATTATATAAATACTAGTATACTTCTTTGACATAAGAAACCATAATTCCCTCCCTGCATCAAATTTCTTGACATTTCCCATTCAATTCCATGGCAAACCTTTTGAAGAAGATGTTAACTCTGTTACAGGGCAAATTCGAAAAGAAAGAGGAGAAAGACCATAGGGATGATGAGGATGAAAAGAGGATTTGGGAGTCACTTTCAGAAGATATATTAGGCGAAATTATCTGCAAATTAAGTTTACGTGATGCTCTTAGTATGAGTAGGACTTGCATGTCAGGGAGATGTGCATTGCAAAACAATGTCCAAAACATTGTCATCTTCCCATGGATGATGTTACCTTATGAAAGGGAAACCAACTGTGTGAGATTCTTTGATTTGTCTGGAGGCTTTCTTTATAAATTCAACCTCCCCAAGAAATTAGGAAGAGTCAATTGGTGTTTTGGATCTTCCAAAGGTTGGCTTATAATTGCTAATGGCCCTCAACGCAATCCCCGAAGTTTTCTCTTCAATCCAATCTCAGGTATACATATTCAGCTACCTCCTCTCACGACAATTCCATCTTTTCAAACTTACCTAACTCACCAATCTGAATTGAAAGTTTCACGAGATATTGATCAATTTTTTGTTAAATTTGAATTATCGTCGACAGATTCTACGAATGTTATAGTTGCAGGAATCATGTTTCCATATGATAAGTTGGCAATTTGCAGGCCAAAAGACAAGAGTTGGACTATCTGGGATTATGATACTTATTTACGAGACATCCTATATTCTAATGGAATATTGCATGCTTTGATCCACACAGAATTACCTTTCTTGAACACATCCATTAGGGTAGGGGATGAGGATGTTATTCTCAAAATATATCAGTCCCTTGTCCTGATATCCAACAATATAATGAAATTGAATTTGAATTAGGATCGACAGCGGTTTGTGGAGGGCTCGAGTCATATTTGGTGGAGTCCAAAGGTGAAATTTTACTTGTTCAAAAGATGCTTGAACATACAGCTACTCAAATAGACTACTATGATCATTATGATACTAGATGTCTATTTAATTATGACTCAACTCGGATTTTATGTGTTGAAGATTGGTTATCCTACTATCCATCCATCGATACAACTGGGTTAAATAGCTTGGATGATCAATATTATTTGTGTCACAACAGAGTTCATACATTCTAGATAGAAATCTCAACTACTTGGAAGGGAATTGCATTTTCTTTTTGGATGAGAATGGTCATGTTTACGAGGAAGATTATGATCTGGGAGGAAATCTTCTATTTTGTGAACCACATCCCTCTCGCGAATCGGGTATTTTTTATTTTAAAGATAAAAAAATATTACGTGCTTTCCCAAGTTTCAAGAATTTACCAGATTTTCAAATGCGTTGGTTTTTACCCAATATATGGTAGAAACAAAGTTGAAGTAATTCATAGGTTTTATTTATTTATTTTTATCATATCTTACATGTATAAGCTCGGAGTTAATGTTAACTTGTTGTCTTTATTCATTAATATAATCCCTATTATAAGTAACAATTGTTATGTATATGGAGTTTGTAGTATTTGGGGTGCTAGTTATCGTGTACTCTATTAATTATTACATGAAATCTTAATTTATTTTGAAATGAATTTGAAGAAAATTGTGTAGAAAGAGATATATATGAAAGTAGGATATCCTTGAAGAATATCCATGGCATGTGTTCATCTTAGAGAATGCGTGAATTAAATAATTAGGTTTTGGTGCCTTGCACTTGGACTTGGAATTGGTTTGCCTCTTTTGATGAATCATGAATGTTGGTCTACCACGTATCTAAGCTAGCTGCTAGCCTGCCAGATACTTTTTACAAATAATTAGGTAAAGAGCGAATCCACATTCACCACCTCATTCAGTCATAGCTCAAAAAGGTTCATGGAAATTGCCATATATATAAATATGCCCACTCCTTTACTTAATATGAATTACTTTAGTTTGGTAAAATAACCAAAGCTTTTGAAATTATCTTTTCCTTATCCTTATATATGACGCTGGCATTCTACAGGTTTAAAAACTAACAGTGATAATTCTGACTATTTTCAATTCTTAAGAAAATTATAGATAACGTGTAACATGGACATATATATTTGGTATTGCCATGTCTCTGCATATTAGCCTATATGGCAGAGGATGTATAAGTATGGAAATGAGCATCATATCAGTAAGACAGCCAGCATATTCATTGTAACTTAAAGCACACATGTGATATATTTCAGCATACAATTTGAATTTTCTTTCATTTGAATCAATGTCTTATCAGAATTGGATGTATTGAGAGTACAACCAGTATATGACATATTTTTTTAATTTGTATGCTAGCTAGCTAGCGGTTGAGAATGTATTGAGAAAAGCGACTCTAATTTTGATCAAACTTCTATACAAGCATTCAAGTCCATCTTCAAAATCTTGAATGCACAACTCCAGGTTCTTTAGCTGTTCTGCAAATCTGCGACTTGCTTCATGTTATCAGATTTGCATGTCTTGTGTTTTTACCAATGAGAAACTGCAATGAAGCATCCACCTTCACAAATTCATTTGCTTGTGTTTCTCTCTCTACACAAGCCATCTTTTGTGTTCCTTCTTTAGAATGCTCTCATTGTCTTGTTAGAGAAAGCATTTCTATTCTTCATGACCTTCAGATCTCCCAAGGCCTTTTGCATTGCCTTTTTCGCCGCCTTCCTTGAGGCCAGGTACTTCCTAGCCTCACTTGTGAATCCATTGTCACTTCCACATCTTCAGCACATGATGGACAGAAGTTCTTGTGTTGATTCCTTTTTTTGCAACAATGCATCTTTAGCAGTGCTAGCTACACAGATCCCTGCAATATATATATATTATATATATTACATATATATTTTTTTTTTTTCCATTCTCTGAGAAATTCTTATTGATTTCTCAAATTAATTGAATTACTGCAAACTGGAGGTCTAAATCTATTCTCATGATATCATCATCCCTGCAAGTGTGTGACTATGCGCTGATCAATAAAGTCTTGGAAAGTGCACAGAGTGCTGGAAGATGCAGTACTGGTGCAATGGTACAACGAACTTTCTGTATAAGCAGGAATGTGTTTCTTTGTGTGGTTGACTGTGGTTCAATTGTGTCTTTGTTGGTGCTGACTGTGGTTCAAGTCTTCAGGAAAAAATACTTAGCTACTGTGGCTTTGTTGATGGTGTAGTTGGTATACTGAATAATTGAAAGTCTGCTTACTAAGTAAATTGTGCTGAAATTTACATGCGGCTGCAGGTAACATTGTGCTGAAATTTACATGCAGACTGCAGGTAACATCAGCCTGCAAAACTCGTTCCATTGATGTCCTGAATGGTTGATTCTTGTACTGAATAGTTGAAGATGTGTTAGTTCAGTCTGAAATGTAGCATTAGATATGCAGAGTTAAAATGTAGTCCAGCATAAGATGTGCAGTGTTAAAATGCAGTCCAGTGCAGAATACAACGCAGTTTAACATCAGATGTGCAGAGTTAAAGTACAGTTTGATTTGAGGGGGAATGTTGACTATCAGCTGATCAATAAAGTCCTGGAAAGTGCACAGAGTGCTGGAAGATACATGGTTTAGTTTTAGGGGGAATATGAGTATGCAAAGTACCTGGGTTAAATTCTCTCTATTCTAGACTTTCTCACACAAGGCATATTCTAACTTTCATTTCCTGCTTGTACTGCATATTGTTAATACCTGATTACACAAATTTATATATTAAATATATATGCACGAGTGCACAACCATCATGTTTCCTACAGGAAACTAGTTGTTCAGGAGACGGGTCACATAGTTTGCGGATCATTGAGAAAGAAAAGTAATATTTTTTCTCATGAGAAGATATTAGTGTGATTTTGAAGCTCTGGTGGGAGACATTGTATAAATGCAGCTAATATAATGTTCGATCCAAATCTGAAATCATGTACCTAATTGAATAAGCAGAAGAGATTCCTCTTGTCTCTCTTATTCATTATATATATATAGACATATAGTCACAAAATGAAGGCAGATTGAACTGAACAATCAATTTCTAGGCATTTTCAATTCCAAAGGAAGAAAAAATGGCTCCTTCTTACCAACTCGCTCTAACAGTTTTCCTTCCGACCACACCCAATTACTTCAGAGTTGATCAGCATCTGAGCAGATTAAGGGCTTCTCAAGCTACTTCTACATCATCAATAAGCCATGGGATAAATGGCCTTCAAGATTTGCATGATTGTGTTGATAAGTTGCTTCAGTTAGCTTCGATTCAACAAGCTTTAGCCCAAGACGAGTTGTTGACTGGATCTCTTAGACTCTTGGATATCTGTGGCATTGCTAAGGATTCCTTGGTACAAACCAAAGAAGCTGTGCAAGGCCTTCAATCAATTTTCCGCAGAAGAAGATGTGATGATATTGAGCTTACAAGTAAGGTTAAGAAATACTTGACCTCCAGGAAGACAGTAAAAATGACCATCCAAAAGGCCTTGAAGAATTTGAAAGCCATGAAAAACCAAAGAATCTCTCCAATCTGTGAGAAAGATGAGTCAAACGCCACAATTTGCATATTAAGAGAGGTTGAAGCAGTCACTTTCAATGTGATCGAATCCTTGTTGTCCCTTATCTCAGGGCCAAAGGTTCCATCAAAGCTAAGCAGCTGGTCAGTAGTTTCCAAGCTAATCCACTCAAAAAAGGTAGCAGGTGAAGAAACAGAAATTAATGAGTTTGAAAATTTGGATGCTGAATTGTCTACCATCATCGCTCACAAGACGAGCAAATCCGATAACATTCAAAACCAGCTTAAGGAATTGGAGTCAAGCATTCAAGATTTTGAAGATGGCCTTGAGTCCTTGAGCAGGCGTCTGATCAAAACTAGAGTCTCTCTTCTCAACATCCTCAACAATTAGATTACAAAATTTTGATACTCTATACTTGTACATCAATCAAATACACTTGTATATTCCTATTGATACTAAATCAATCAGATAAATTTTTTCTCTGATATCTCAATCTTCCCTCTTATCTGAGAGCGTATTCTTTTGCAACTAAAATATTTTGTAGATTATACTTGATTTTCTACTTGCTTGGAGACGAAACTAACATTCTATCATAAGCAACTCTGGATATTTCTTCTATTTCAGAAGTAAAATGGAAAAAAAAAAAAGTAACTTGGGTGAATAAGTTCAGTTAATCTTCAAATGCTTCACAAAATTTACCCCATGAAAGCCTTAGTTTTGAAATAAATCAATAATGAGACTGGATCATTAGTTTATGTCAATTTTAAGTATATATTAGAGCTGTCAAGATTCCAATTGTCTCCAAATATATTGAAAACCATCAATTAATGAAATTCAAATGGTAGATTCAATTCTTACACGTTTTAAGCAACGAAAAATGAGCTGGCTGTCGTGGTGTTACAGTGCACTATGCAATATGTAATAACTAATATTTCTAACATCAAGGAAAGCAATTAATCAGCATAGGACCTCAAATTTTTTATTAAATATTTGCAATTCTGATGTCAACCGCCCTCGTATGCTGAAAATTATAGTAGTTCTAGTATCAATTGGTTATGTTTACAGACTTTGTCTCCTGATTACATGAACCGATAAATATACAATTATCATGTTTTATATAGGAAGGCAAGCCAAACTGGATTGCTATCCCATGTACTGCTGCAGAGGAGACAGAGTCAACGCAATTCACAGCCTCTGAATCAGAAAGAAAAAAAAATTTATGAATTGTTAGCAACGTGAAGATACTAAGTATGATTTTGAAGCTAAAGAAAAAGAGTTGGGTAGCAGGTGGGAGACATTGCATAAATGTAGCTGATATAATGTTTAGATCACATTCCTAATTAAATAAGAGAAGAGATTCCTCTCGTCTTCCTTATCTCATAAGTTGCT